AGAAGAAGAAGAAGAAGAAGAAGAAGAAGAAGAAGAAGAAGAAGAAGAAGAAGAAGAAGAAGAAGAAGAAGAAGAAGAGAGAAGAGAGAAGAAACAGGTAAAGGAAGAGAGAAGGGGTCTAGGGAAGAGAGGAAAGGCGCAGAGAACAATATAATTAGCTAGGAGCTTCAGCAGAAGCCCCGGTCAGGCCAGAGATGGCGCAGCAGTGGCCCAGTGGGCCTCTGGGCACATGGACATCCCTTTTCCAGGCCAGGGCGACCACGATCCCCCTTGCTGGGCCTGGCTCTCTCTCCCATGCTAAAGCAAGAGTCCTCAGGCTGTTGTACCAGAGATGCCCTGCCCCCATCTGTGTTCCCAGTTTAAAGAAAGGAGGGAGGAGAGAGAAATTTAAATCCACACACTCCAGCTTTGCAAGGTTATGATTACTTGGGCCTATCAAGAATAACCTTCCCTCTTTATCAAGCAGTGTGACAAACCCGCCACAATCAGACAGTAGCCATAGCAACCAGGACAAGCTCTTGCGCCTCACAAAGCCCTGAGTGGCAGAATGGAGTCCTTTTATTGGTGGCTGTACCCTGGCCAGGCTTTCTCTGCATGGGCCCAGAGCTGCGAGACAATGACTGACCCCTGCTGCACCAACCCCACCCGCCTGCTCAGACAGGCCTCACTGGGGCAGCTTCTATTTGACTCCAAGTTATTTCATTCTGTGACAGAGAAAAACAGCAGGATTTCTCCCAAACATTCCTTCCCGCCTTAGGGTAAGAGATGTCAGCCAGAGGTGTCAAATCATAAAGACCAAAATGAAATGGGAAAACAACAAAACGTAGGGGATGCTTGGGCAGTTCAATCTTAAGTGTTCATTTCTAGCACCAATCACTAGTCAGTTAAAGAGTAAAATACAAATGGTAGCGGTGAAATTTTTCTAGGCTCTCCCACCTCAACTGCTTGGGATAGTCTTGATTTAATGAATGTTAATTACGGGCATTGGTAATATGCAAAGCCTGTTTGCATATCATCAATGCAGGAAGAAGATGGCATTTCTAAAACACAGGATGAGTCCCATAAAGGCAGTGAAAGACACTTTTAAGTCCATTAGCTAAGAAAGGTGGTAGGAAAAAGATCCGGATGGAAGGCTCTCTTTGATCTGCTTTTTTGTGACACTCTGGTGAGGAGAGAAGAAAGCAGGAACAGCACTCAAAAACCAGCCTGCTTATCAAATGAAAAGACATTTCTTTCTGTGAGTTGGAGCAAAAATTTTAATTAACTCTCCACTCTCCTGTGGTGGATACATAATCTCCCATCACACCTGGAGTGTTAAAAAAAAAGAAAAAATAGAGCATGTCCTGTGGTTTTTCAGCTTGTATAAAAGGAATCCATTTGTGTTTATGGCTTTTTTCCCCTTTGTTCCTTGTAATTTCTCCAGTGGTTGCAAATCACCTACGGAAACAGCCGTCCAATACAACCTTCCCCTACCCTCCAAAAACTAGGACAACACCATATACAGCAGTTTGAAGGAAAACACTTCACTTCTTACACATGGCTGTAAATACAGGCCTGTAAAGAGAAGAATTCAACTTCCCTTGCCAAAAGGTGCTAGGAACAAGGCTTAAGACACTCTTCATACCTAACAGTGAAGGGCATTCTGCCTCTGATACTGGCATCCACAGGGCCACGGGAGCGCTTCCTTCCAGCCTGGAAAATCACTCTTGTATGTTCTGTAAAATTGCTAATTTTACTACCAAAATGCTAATGCTCAATACTTAGTGTCAGGATACATTCCTACTACTAGTACTTAGCCATTTTAGGTATCTTCTGATTTTCTCATAGGGCTGCTGTTCGCATAGGTATGTCTCACTTCATTTTTTGTGTCCCCAAATGGTATTAAACTATGCTTAACTAAAAATGTGTTTACGTTCTTACACTTCTATAAGCACTGCTCAGCGCTCTATTTTGTACCACCAGTAACTATCCCAGGCGCCTAGATATGTAAGACCCACACTTTTACATGGGACACCTTTCTGAAGGTCTATGAACACTAAAAACTGGCCTGCGAGACAGTTCAGCAGCATAAGTGTCTGCCTGGGAAACACAAGGTCCTAAGTTCGATCCTCAGTACTGAGAGAAGAAAACTCCTGGCCTGACTTCTTTGCATGTGTAGGTTCTCCTCACACTGGCATCTATGGCTAATGTGTTCTCTTTTTTTGGTTCCTTCTCATTTTTTGGAGCACAGTCCCTAATGGCTGGCTCCCGAGGGAGCAGTGGCCTGGAAGTCTGTTGAACCTGCATTTTTAAAGATACCTTTGTGTTCACTTTAAACAAGGTTTGAGTGAAGAAATCTGGGCTGAAATCTGGTTTGCCCTCAAAAGTTTGAAAGTACTGCTGTACCCCTAGCTTCTAGATATTGGCATTCCTAAGAGAGTCTAAATGAACCCTGTTGCAATGCTGTAGAAGTTTCTAGGATTTTTTTTTTCTAAGACATTCCAGAATTTCAAAAGATGCCTAGTACAGGTCTTATTTACTCAAAGATTGTACACTTGATGACCACACACTCAAGATTCTTAACGTTCCGCTCTGTTAAGTGTTATAAAATATTTGTTGTTGGGTTTTTTTTGGCTTCACCTGATACCTTCTCTTCCATATTTTATCTTTTTCTCTTTGCCTTCCCCCACTAGTCAAACTGTGACATTAAGATTTTAATTGTGTTCCCTGTTTCCATATCCTTATTTTCTTTATTTTACCTTCTGAGAGATTTCCTTCCAGTCTATTCATTATGTTTTTATATTTTCTGATGATGTATTTTTAAGACCCTAAAGTTCTTTGTGTTTTTGTTCCATTTTTTTTTTTAAAAGAGCATCCTGGTTTTATTTCATGAATCCTTGTATTCTATCTCTTTAAGCGGTTCCTTTGGATTCCTGCATTACCTTTACAGTGACCAGGCTGTATGGGAGACAGATGGAGAACTTGGAATCTGACTACCCCATCTTAGATCTTTCAGCCAATTTCTTGCTTTTCAGCTCTGCAATTTGCCACTTCCTCTGTCCCTTAATGATTAGGACTTTGAAGACCAAAGCTTTTCTTGGGTTCTGCAACAGAACCCAGGTATCAGTTTCTTCCACTTTTTTAAACCATTTAGATGTTTCTATTTGATTTCTAAAATCTTATTTATTTATGTAGTTTAGGGTCTTTC